ACATGGGCTAGCTACTTGGATACAGTACTCTACGTGTGGTCTTACATAGGTGGGATATAAAATTCGAAACGTTTCCTCGTCAAAAGATTTGAACGCTCGGCGAAGTGACCATAACGCTCGAAAACCTTTGACAGCGGCTGCTTTGCAATGCGTAGTTGTTTTTAAATCATGACTTAATACTACTCCTAAGTCTTTATGCTCCTGAACGCATGGAAGAGGTTTACCCTCAATAGTATAACGATAACTATTACCGTGACCGATGTGCAGTAGTACACTCTTCCTAGCATTGATTTCTAAGCCCCACTCTCGAGCCCATCTAACTAAATCGTCTAAGTCAGCTTGAAGATCCTGATGATCAGCCACACTTTTTATTGTTCTCCAGATTTTTACATCATCCGAAACAATAATGTCGACGACCTAAGTAACAGCGATAACTCATTAACGTAGAGAAGGAAGAGCAGGGGGCCTAAGATGGTGCCTTGGGGTACACCACTTTTGACCGGCTTCCAATCGGATAGCGTTCCGTTAGCCCTCACTCTCTGTCTGCGGTCACATAAGAAATTTCCTATCCACTCATGTACAGTACCTATTATTCCGAAGCTCGTGAGCTTCTGCGTAAGACCTACGTGTGAAACCTTGTCAAACGCTTTGCTAAAATCTATGAATATCACGTCGACAGACAGACCGTTATCTAGGGCTACTGTCCAATCCTCTCTCGCAATAAGCAAGTTAGTCAAGCATGAACGCTTGTTACGAAATCCGTGTTGCTCAGGAGCTAACAGATTGTGTAAATCTATGTGGCTTAGCAACCTAACCCGAATTATCTTTTCGAGTAACTTAACGACTATGCTAGTTAGACTGACAGGCCGGTAGTTAGATACTATCTGTCTCTGACCGTCCTTGAATATAGGACTGAATATAGCGTCCTTCCAATCTCTAGGGAGTTGAGCGAGTGAAAGGGACATGTTGAAGAGTTTCGCGAGCGGTTTTGAAATAATGTCCGCAAGAGATGACAGCAACCGTGGATGTAACCCGTCAGGGCCCGGTGTCTCACCAGGTTTGAGGTTAGTTATCAACGGAAGGGCAGTTTCCTCAGTCACCTGTACAGATTCCATGGTTGGTATCGCGGTGTGAGTGGGACAAGTATTTGTTACAATAAACGTAGAGAAGACTTCTCTAAAATAGTTTGAAAAAGTCTCAGCTTTTGCTCGATCTGATTCAGCTAGTAATTCTGAATTTTCGTCTAACAGTAACGGGGGAATACCATCACTACGTTTCGTCCGCCGTTTAACATACGAAAACAATCGTTTCGGACAAGTACGGCTGTCATATACTAACTGTCGTTCGTAAGTGGTACGGGATTCGGCTATGGTTTTCTTACAGATATTGCGGAATTTCTGGTACTCACGCTTAAATGGTGCATGACCTGTCAACAAGAATAAGTCCCAGAAATGTTTCCTACGCTTTAATAGCTTCCGGGTTTCCTTATTAATCCATGGAGGGCAATGTGATAGCTTGCGTGCTGACCATGGGATAAACGGCGACGTTACGGACTCGAATGTAGCCTTAAACTTATTCCATTCATCTTCGATCAATCCATCCGCGTCGACCGACCAATCAATCGAGATAGCACAGTTTCTGATCGCCGAAATATTGGCTCTCCAGATATTGGGACGGGGTGGAGCAGATACGAATTGTATACCATGTGTCCTGAACTTAAAGTGGATTACAACGTGATCACTGTTAACTAGTGAGGGAAGGTGCTGAGTATCAAAGACATCCTCACAGTGGTGGGTGAGGGCGACGTCCAGCAGTGACGGATCATGATTGAAATCAATATGTGTCGGTTTTATGATACATTGTAGAAGTGCACACTGAATAACGGTAGATAAAAGGTCGCTATCGAAACCACTACTTGGAGCTGTAAGCTCTATCCGGTTGATATGCGGTGCGTTGAAGTCCCCAATGATGAGACAACATTCTGCCATACTCCAAGAACAGATGTGTCTTAGGATAAAGTCGTCAGCAAGACAAAACGGACTACGGTATATTCCCCCTATAGTCACTAACCCACTTCTAGATTTAATCTTACAACATGCAACCTCACATGTGCCACTGATATGAGCCTCCGATATGGTTGATTGTATACGAAAATGATCCCTAACATATAATATTATACCTCCCCTTTGCGACCTGAAACTCTACCACTTCTAATACAGATATAGCCTGCAATGAACGGAGAACAGTCTATATCTACTGTGAACCAAGTTTCTGTAACAACGATTATATCGGGACATAATTCTTGCACCATCAGACTTAGCTCGGACGTTTTATTTTTATGACTACGAGCGTTCGTGTAGCACACACTTAAGGTGTTTTGGCAATCAATCGTTCTACCCATACACGCCTCGGAAGCATTGGCTTCCAAGACCTGACTACCCGAAAACCCTTAATGACAAGGTTATTTTCGCCATTTAACTTGCGAGTCCTCAACTCCATAAGAGCATTCTTCCACTTGACTCGATCCTTAAGCGGCCAGTCTGATCGAATACAGATATTTCAGTAACGAGTTTTGGGTGCGTTTCAATAATATGTCTCTTTCTCCGAAACTCCCGAGAACCAGCTTCAGGATTCTTCTTGGTTGGGTCGTATTACTTTTGTAATATGTACCCCTGAAACCTCTTCAGGTAGTACATTTCTTACCACAGACTCCATTAACTGCAGGTCATGTGCATGTCTTCTATCAGGGTCGTTATCTTTCGACTCCTCTAGATTCCAAATAATTAAACTAGGAAGGGGTTTAGCTTCCTTTGAAACTGTGTTAACAGCTTTCGACCGTGACGATAGATCCTGTATATTAACTACTGGTATCTTACGATTAGCTTTTATTGTAACAGAGTCCTGTGAGTGACTCACAACAGTGTTAGACGAAGCTTTACTTTGGAGCTTTGGCGGATTGGTCTGAGAGTCCACCAAGGACTTAGCAAGTAAACAGTCATTAGTTTTAGCTGTTATTCGATTTTTCTTCTCAGTCACGCCAGGATGGGTTTCACTCTTACCATCAGATTTTGGTAGTGCAGTTTGTGACTCACAATGAGAGTTCATCAGTGAGTTACTAACTACCTGTGTACTGCCTACATATTTTTTCCTTTCGTTTCGTTTCCTACGTACCGTAGTCCATTTTTCATCCTTCAGGACATTGGGACTATTTGGAACGGTGATGGTTTTATCCAGTTCGTCGGTTTCCACTAAAGATGCATTGTTATCAATGTCAGTAACAGGTGGTACTACTCCCTTTGTTAATGTCAAAGGAGATCTCACTTTTGCGTCGGTCAGAGTCGGTTGTTTGAGTCGTCGCGTAACAGCAGATACTACACTGACACAATCGTCACTGTCAGTGCCGGTGTTGTCAGCGCATGTGTCATCGTTTTTCTTGCAGGCCAAAGCCAATAGGCCCATCGCCTCCTTAATTAGCACCTTTTTATCCGTACAGCAGAACATACAAAGCCAATGCGAGTTAGGCTTCGAGCATCTTTTGTATGCCATCGGACTTAGGCGTGTACACATTTTGTGGTACCACTTTCTACAGTCATCACACTGCATCCCCTCCTCAACGGGGAACAAACAATTTGGTTGCCCACATTTGTGAGTCTTACTAACCATTGTAATTAGATTTAAAAGGTTTAAAAACACAAAATGATTACAAAGTGAACACAGGTGTTAGTCAAGGACTTAAAAATGGTATTCAGGATAAAATTTAGCAAAAAATTTCAAACTTTAACCAAAGTACTTTTAGTTAAAGTAGACCAAGAATGCTTTTTGGTGCAATAAGTACACAAAGCAAGTATAATCACAACAAGTAATTTTATCACGAAAGTGCAGGTGCAATGTAAAGCATGGGCGTCTAGTCATAAACCCATGTTAGGATGAGCTAATCAGGCTAGCCGAAAGTAAAGATGATAATAGCTGTATGTGGATGACTTTTCCATGGTTTTTGATAGCACAGGTGTCAAATTATTGGCATCCAAGTCGCTTGAATAATTTCTTCGTGACCATGGTGTTGTGAGAGTTTTTAGATAGATCCTAGCCAGTTTACGACCGTAAACCAACCAAAAGTCTGCACGTAAAATGGATAAAAACAGGTGGTACTAAATGTTAGGAAATGCTAAAACTAGCCTTGACGTTGAAAAGTGTTAAGAAACGAACAGCAGGCTGATGCAAGACCACAGCCAACTATTAACTTAGGTAAAACTCAAAGAGAAAAGTAATCTACCAAACATGAATCTCAAGAAATATTCTTTGGATCGAAAATGATACTGTTGTTGAGTAAGAACACAGCAAAAGATAGAGATGCAAATCATTTTTAGTTCGTGAAACTTTCGTTTAACATCACTAGAATTTATGCATTTCTTCACGAATGTCGAATAAACTACCGTTTTTCTCCTAGATGACTTCATGTTCTTTCCAAACTGAAAGCGCACAAGGTCGTGTGAAGGAGAGCGCGATCCAGTTTGGAGGCCAATCACTTTTATTCCTTGTATCTCAGTCTTCCGGATCGTGTCAAACTTTCTTCCAGGATTTTGGCCAATTTCTCTGTCTGCTAGGATATGAGTTCACAGAAAGGTAACACTCAGCGCACACGACCTCAGAAATATAAGAATACTAAGGCTTTTAAAAACAACTTGCATGATACGTCTAAAGAAGTCAAACGTCTCAACAATCTGACGTTCGACTTTTTGTGTCCTAGATGTACAGGTGTTGTGCAATGGAGAGTCAAATACAAAAAGTATCATCAATTAGCAAACCCTAGAGTTTGGTAAGTTGGCTAACATTTTTATATATAAACGGTATGTCGTTGCCTGATAACGCTGTTTATCAGAAGAAAAACTTCCAAAAAACCATCCTTTATATCATGTCTCAAATAACTCGTTAAGTTACCCTGTTCATTATTGGGTATCAGGAAATGTTTTGTAATTCGTATTTGTAAATATGCATACATGTAAACCGATTTTTGAAATTGCAGCTTCAAAAACCGTTTCCCTTATGATAAAAGCACTAGCATTATTTATCATTTGCCTCAGTTATTTATTCTCACTCATATCCTCGTTCACCGTCAAGGTTCATTTATTACGTACAATTATTTCTTTTGAGTCTGATTACTTACTCTGCAGGTAATGATTTGCTTTTCGTATTTTTATCTTAAATCTTAGAAGAATATTTTTCACTTTGTTGCAAATGCTTTTCTACAGAACTTTATTCAGTCAACTGTTAAAAACGTTCATCAGATAGGATGTATCTGATAAAATTAGAACAGCTCAAAGCTTAGAAAGCTCATGACTCATTCAGATAGAATATCACTAATCAAAGTACGATGAAGTTTACATCTTACATACTGTCTTGTTTAAATGGTTCTCCAAATTCATCAAATGGAAAGATTAAGTAGGTACAGTTTAATTATAAATAATCGGTTGCTTCGGTTTTTTAGTGGATTGATATCTAGTTCTAGTGCGAAAGTCTTGTTTATAGTAGTAAGGTCAGTTATTTTCTCTAACTAGTTTTATTTTCAGTTTTGATGTACTCTATGCAGTTAGGTTCTCTCATATAAAATGGGATCTCTTTAGGCGTTATTTGTAATAGTTGGTAGTTCTTCAGATGAAAAATGCAGTTTTAAGTTACTTTCTGGTAAATTTGATTACTTTCATAGTAGCAACTTATTAAGTTCGTCTCAAAACACAGCATTCTTTTAGGTCATTGACCTGATAAGACTCGTCAGGATATTTAAGGCACTGTCAATGAACCTATAAGTCAGGAGTTTCCGAAAAATCATGCTGTCTTGAGAAGTGTATAGTGATGGTTTATGAAGAGGAATTTGAGAATTTATGAGAAAAGCTATTCAGAAAATTTACTGTGATTAATAGTGTGAAATTTGGTTCGACAATAAATTGTTTTGCACTGCTATAAGGCTTCATGAACAATAAAAGCAGATGGTGCCCTCAGATAAAAAATATGGATATAGGTAAGTGCCTGTAACTACGCTTATTTCTTAGCAGGGGATTTATTAATACACCGATAACCCACATACGAAACCTGTCAACATTTCTAGTGTTCCGTGCCTGTTGACCTCAGGTATACCAATAGTAGAAGACGAAGCGCATATGTATCGTATGTTTTGCATTTCGTATCAGTACAACTAAAGGGAATACGTGGTTCCAAAGATAATGTTATCTATAATTGTGAAGAACCAAAGGAAAATACCCTAAAACTACCCCTGTTTGTGGGTATCGACAACAATATCAGCTACCTCATTTGATGAAAACTCATAATTTCTTGAACCAATTTACCCATTTATTGAATGTTCTACCAGACTCGGTGAATTATCAATAAACTAGCATTTTTTCTAGAGCATGTGCAAAACATTTCTGAATGCATTCGAGTACTTTGCCGCAGTTGTTTCACACCAGTTAGGTGATATGTAGGGGGCTGTTTTACTATTTGATACAATGACAGAAATCTTATCTACTTTGCAAATAAACTAAGTAATCGTGCCAAGATTTTGTCAGCAGGCGAATCACCGAAATTTATGTGATTGAAATATGAATGGACTGTTATTTCCGCTTCGCTACTGTTTTTGAATTGGACACTGACGACTGCCGAGAAATGCATACCAGTCATTTTTTGAGCTGCTACACAAGATGGGTGGCTCATTGATTACAACTTGGCTTTCGACTTTCAGGCTGCAAAGAAAATTCTAACCCTCTTATTTCGGTTCAGATAGTCGAATAGAATCACTGGCCCCTAAGCAAAGGATACAACTTGAAGTAAAGACCATAAAACTACATACTTAGTTACGCAACTACTCGCTGTATTTACCGTCTTCCTCAGTCTAAACCACCTTGTACATTCTAGGTTGGTAAAATAATATTTTGGCAATCGGTCAATTCATGATGATTGTGTTACTTTTGGGAGCGTTTCCACAAAACAACTGAATAGAAATAAGAGAACGAATTAGTTCTAAAGAGGGTTAACCAATGTTACTTTATGTGATGGTATAGATTTTTGATGTGGATGATTGTCATATTTTATAAAATTAAATTTTAACTACACCGAAACTAACTTCGCCAAACTTCTCTGTTTGAAACCTATTGTTTGGATAGCTAATAGTCTTATTGTTGTTTTCAATAATGTAATTGCTTGATTGAATAACTGAAGAAAGCCGTCTTTATTCACCAAAAATTGGGAATTAGTTTCACTGTATCGTTATTTCTTTTCTATCCTGATAGTGTGAAGTGTAACGGTAAAACTGTAAAGCAAGCCTACCATACAATCTGTACAGATTGTTCAAGTGCTTTGAAAATCTGCTCTAAGTGTGGAAAATCGGATGGATCGATTACCTTCGGGTAAGTAGTTCCCTTAATTAAGCATAGTATTTATGATCACTGGTGGTTAAAAGTGATATGAATGTCCTCAGTAAGGAACAGTTCACCAAAATAATACTCTTATTACGGTTAACAAGTCCTCCTTACAGCGCTAAGCATAAGGTATAAAAAAAAGTGATAAAAATTAGAAATAACACTGACTGCTGAACACGCTCAGCATCTTTAAAGTATTCATTTACCATGATCATTTGTATGGGCCCTAATGTACTTGTATCTTGTTTTAAAAGACATGCAAAGAAGAAGTTTTTGACTATACTGAATAACTTATAATTGATACAAAAATGATAGGTAAATTCCAATTGTCTGCATACAACCATATTCGTTTTAGTTCGAAGGCTCAAAAATAACCTCAATAGCACCATCCAAGGTCACTAGTGACACAGCAGTTGCTTTTAAAATTCCGAGAAAGTACAGGAAAAGATTGCAGAAGTACACAAGTGATTTATAGGAATTGATAAATCTCGAAATTTAGTACTCACCAATGCCTCTTGACAAAATAAATTAAGTAGGGAGTTTTTCTTAATGTCAGCAAAGTATAAGAAGACTAGGAGAAATAATAAATAAAGCTAACAATAGTAAATGTAAGTCTTTATAAAAGAGCCGTCTGGCTCTAGGACCTCTATCTCTTTTGTATCCAGGTCTCGAACATAACATTTTGACAGTTAAGGGGGTCGACAGTCAGAATATTAAGAAGAAGCTATTGTTTCATGTATGCTGGAAACGTATTAATTTCAAAGCAACCATAACAGGAAGAACTTTGTACATACAATAAAATCATACACGCATTTTACATGTGTTTTTAGTAAGAGGTGGCAAGTCATGTTATGCAGAACGTTTTAACCGTTACTGATAATAATTTGATAATTTCATATTGTTTTGCTTGTTCAGTGTGCGGACTTGAATCGATGTGTCTGGTTGTACGTTGCTTATGATGGACTGGCTTACAGAACTTGATGTTTCATCGCAGCAAGCTTGTTTGACAAGGTCTTAGAACAGGAGAAGTGTAGTCTAGAAAAGTGCATCGAACACACCTTCAAAACTAAGCAATAAATTGTTATGTAAGACAGATTCAGCGTTATAACTATTTTTCGCACGTTGTTTTAGTTACTGTTGATATTAGTGTAAATTCGATGTTTGTGTCAGGAGACAATGTCTTCGATGTCGGCAATACTTTAGTTATTTAGTATATGTGGCATAACATTCCTTAAGAGAGATTTATTAAAAATTACTGAGCTGTTAGTATAACCAATCAGCAAGGAACGTCAATTACAATACGGCATAATCTGCAATAGGTAACTTATCCCTTTCCCTTTTTTAGTACTACAGAAAATCAAGAAGATATTAACCAACAATTTATTGATGCTTTGAAAAATGTTCGTGAGAGAGAACGCCGTAAGTTATTTTTTAGATGTACCAGGACGTTCTTATTTGAGCGTTGGGTTTTATATGTGCTGCTCGTTACTAAATTCTTGCGAAAACGGTAATCGTAACAAAGCTTCCCAGTTAGTTCATAAAAATAGGAAAACTGGAGCTAAAAAAAATACCTATCACTATCGTATTACATTCCAGTCACCTTTTTAGTTTCCTACAACCTGCTTTTGGACCATGTGTTTTGTTTATAATAAAGTACAAGTAACAGATATTTATTCTCTCGAACGGGAAAAAGTGATTCCGGTGATTTTTGCGAACGATATACAATATCTTCACACTATATTCTCAAGAGTATCTAAACACGTGAATAGTCACTAGAACCATTTCCAAACAGCCTTAACGGAACATCGAAATAGGCTCCCAACTCTTATTGGAATCCGAAAAGCTATAGCTAGTCTGAGACAAGAAAGAGCAGCTGATCCAGATGAATTATCTCCAGAAGTCTTTAGGCATAGTGGTACAGTTTCAGCGATTAGGTTGACTAGTATTTCAGTTAAAATCTGGGAACTGGACGTAATCCCATCCAACTGGTTGCAATCACTGATCGTCCTAATGTATAAAAAAGAATCAAAATCATCCTGTGATAACCATAGAGGGATTAGCTTGACTAATATTGCATCTAAAATACTGGCCTCAATAATTATCGGACGTTTAACAAAGACTCATGAACTGTAAATACGCGAAAACCAGGTTGGCTTCAGACCTGGTAATGGCTGCATCGACTACATATTCACTATTCGTCCGACAGTGATGGTTTTTCTTGACTTAAAAGCAGCGTTTGACTCTGTTGGCTGGAAGATTCTATGGCAGTCTGTCATTGGAAGACATACCTCAGAAGTAAATAAACCTCGTGAAGGCCCTTTACTCGAACACTACCAGTCGAGTCAGTGCTTATGGCGAAGTGTCATCTAATTTCGCAACCTCCAGCGGTATCTGGCAAGGCTTCCCTTATTTCCATTTTCGGTCACTTTCATCATAGACCTACTGCTGGAAATAACGTTGTCGTCGACTGAATTTTCGGGAATTGATCTCCTACCAGAAGGTCCACTTATTGACTTAGGATACGCAGATGACGTAGTCCTGTTTGGTGAATACGCTGATAAAATGCAGAACCTTTTGATAGCATTGGGAAACAATGTCAGGGTGTTTAGGGTGCGTTTCTCCTCTTCTAAATGCAAATTCTTGCTTCAGGACTGGCCTGTGTCAACACCTGAACTAAGGATAGGGAGTGAAGTAGTCGAATGCGTCGACAACTTCACTTATCTTGGAAGTTTGATCAACCCTAATGGATTGGTGTCTGACGAAGTTTCTATACGGACTCGAAAAAATCGTTTGGCTTTTGCCAACTTACGTCACCTATGGCGAAGGCGAGATATCCGTCTATCAATTAAGAGACGAGTATACTACGCAGCAGTCCGTTCTGTTTTACTTAACAGCTGCGAAACAATGTCACTAAGGGTAAAGGATACTCGTAAGTTACTAGTAGTTCATTACATGTCTTGGAAATATTGCTTGCATCTGCTAGGATTACCAGGTAAGTAATGGTCAGGTTAGACTCAGGGTATTAGGGAATGATGGTAAGTCAGTTAGTTAGGTTGTAAATCATCATCGACTGAGATGATTGGGCCACGTGTTACGTATGCCTGAACACTGATTACCACGTGGCACAGGAGTGCGCCAAATATATATGCGCCACACAAAACAGTGAGAATTTAAGAAGAAAAAGAAAAAAAGTGGGGAACGTACAAAAAAAACAATAACGAAGAGATTGGTGTAAGGTAGTGTAATAATAATAGTAATAGTAGGGGAACAGAACGGTACAATCAGAAGAAATCTTTCAGTTAAGCAAGATACAACCACGTTTTATGAAGAAAGTAAAAGAAGGTTACAGCATGATCGCCACTGGCTTCTATTCTGAGCCATATCTGATAACGTCTCTAGCCACTGTGTTGTACCATCTCTCGGACCCCAACCAGGGAGTCGTGAAGGACCGACAGAAGCCAGTCCTTTGCAGCTTTCTTTCATACCACGACACCATGTCATGCACTGACCACCTTTCCGCTTCTTCCAACCAGTCCCAGGGTCGGCAAATAATGCACGACGTGGAATTCTCTGGGACGACATTCGGAGAACATGTCCAAGTCACCGAAGTCAGTGTTTCAAGATGGTGACACCGATTGCATTATCGTCTCTGCGCCCGAACACACGATGCCGAACCTCTGCATTATAACATGGTGTTGCCACTGGATGTCAGCAATCCTTCGGAGACAGCGATGATCGAACACAGAGAGTCGTCTAACATCCTCAACTCGGAGAGACCAGGTTTCACAAGCATAGAGCAAAACTGCTCTCACCGACGCTTTGTAGATCCGACCTTTTACAGCCAGACTAACATCACGAAGGCGCCAAAGATGGCCCAGATTGACATAAGCCGCTCTGGCTTTCACTATACGTGCATTGATCTCATCACTCACACCCCCACCAGCACTTATGCAGCTACCCAGATACACGAACTTCTCGACTACTTCTATCTGCTCACCATCCAGGGTGAGCACAGGGTTAGAATCCTGCCAGTCTTGTAGAAGTACTTTGCACTTCGAAGGTGCAAAGCACATACCATACCTACGGACACTGATTGTCAACTGATTAAGTGCGGATTGCATGCCTTGGGCATTATCGCACAGTAAGACAATATCGTCCGCATACTCAAGGTTTAGAAGTCTTACTCCAGGCAACAGATCCACACCGTCATTACTTACATCCATCAGAGCTGTTTCCAGAATGTCATCGATGGCAAAGTTGAAGAGGAATGGTGAGATTGGGCAACCCTGCCTAACCCCACTGCTCGAATGGAACAATGGAGAGAGGTGGTTGTATGCCCTCACTCTGCCTGAGGTGTTTGTATATAGGGCTTTTAGGATGTTAATAAACTTCTCAGGCACACCCTTCTTCAATAGACAATCCCAGAGAACAGCCCTGTCCAACGAATCGAAGGCAGCCCTGATGTCAAGAAACATTACGATTGTTGGCCTTTGAAAAGTATGGCGGTGTTCTAACATTTGGCGGAGGGTGAAGATATGATCAATACATCCTCGACCAGAACGAAACCCAGCCTGCTCCTCGCGAGTCAATCTTTCTCGGGTTTTGAACAACCTACGAAGTATGACGGAAGCCAATACCTTGGACGCATTCGGAAGTAGACTTATCCCCCGATAGTTGTTACAGGAACGACGTGAACCCTTTCTAAAGATAGGGACAACTATCGACTCATTCCATGACGTTGGTGCACTCTCTAGTTCCCAGACCTTTGTAAAGAACGTCGTCAGTTCCTTAGTCAGAATGTCACCACCATCTTTAAAATGAGCCAGAGGTAAGTCATCTGGGCCCGGTGATTTGTAGCGCTTCAAGAGTTTGAGTTCCTTGTAGACTTCCTCCTCATTTGGTGGATCAGTCGTCACCGACCATGGAGGGCAGAACAGTATGACCGATGTTGCCGGAGCAGCAGGCCAGTTGAACTGCCCTTCAAAAAATTCTGCCCATCGTCCAAGACGTCGATGGATGTTAGTGATTGGCATCCCATCATCTTCGCAGATTGTTTCGCTCACACCAGACTTCTTGCTGCCAGTGGCTCGGATGAGTTGGAAGAGCTTACGGTAATTACCAGATGCAGCTGCTGCTTCCAGCTCATTAGCACGCTTCGACCACCAGGCTTTTCGGTCCTTACGCAAGCTTTTCCCAATTTTACTACGTAACAACCTTCGTTTGTGGTCAAACTCACGGTTACCCGGAGTAGACCGACGGGCTTCAATGAGTTGTAAGGAACCTGCAGAAACCCAGTGCTTATAAGCAGGACGTTTCGCGAACCCACAACTGACTGTACCCGCCATTTTCATAGCGTCATGCAATTGCAACCAATGCTCATCTATACTTTTCGGTGGAATGGTAGCTAGCCTAGAAACTAACTCGTTTCGATACTTACTAGCAACAGAAGTTGCAACCAGCTTGCTAACATCAATCCGTTGGTGGCGGTCACTTCGTTGTCCACTGAAAAGTAAGGTAAGGTTGGCGCAGACCAAGGCATGGTCAGAGTCCAGATAGGTACTCTAAAAGGAGCGACAGTCTTGTACACAACCACGCCAGCGGTAGCTGATCGCAATGTGATCAATCTGAGTCCAGGCTTGAGATGCAGAGGGACGACGCCAGGTGGCACATCGGCGATGACTGTGCCGAAAGTTAGTGCTAGTCAGAAACAGGTTGTAGTCTGTGCACAGTTGCAGTAGACGGTCCCCGTTATCTGTCCTGCGACTAACAAGTCCCCATCGGCCACCTAAACGACCCTCTTCTGTGCCTAGACGCCCGACCTGAGCATTCAAGTCTCCGGCTAGTACTACAATATCTGTCGAACGCACTTTCTGGAGAAGAACAGATAACTGGTGGTAAAACTCATCCTTGATTGCATCCGCGCTGCAATCTGTCGGGGCATAGGCGGAGATGACGAAAAGACATCGTTTCTCATGCCGATTTCTTCTCACTTTGATGGAACTTTCTAATCTAACAGCACATAACCGACTGTTAATGGGGATCCAATCGACTAGTGCTGCCTCAGCTCTAGCGCTTAGTGCGACACCAACGGCAGCAAGACGAGACGAAGATGCCACGGAGTCCCCGGATAAACGCACGTAAAACAAGCGTTTTGAAGCGACAGATGGAGCGCGAATTTGTAGTACTTCGCCAGAGTCTTGAATACGGGTCTCGGATAGACAACAAACATCAATATTAAGACTTTCCAAAGACATAGCCAGCCCTATCTGTTGTCCGACCTGCATGAATGTGCGAACGTTGAAGGCAACCAGTTTGAATGGTGCACGTGGTTTCAGAAAAACTGCTTCAGTACTCATATCCAGTGGTAACATACAATTTTCAACCGGACAGTGACTCGAGAACGTTTAGATACAGTCGAATTTCCACCATAGACGAGCTGCTGTATAAGTCGAAAAAAAAGTATAGACAGAGTAGGAATAAAAGAGGGTGAATAATGACGTAGCAAATAATAATAATAATGATGATAATAATAATAATAATAGCAATAATAATAATTGAATCATTTGAATGTTCGTCGAAGCAAGAGAATTAGTTTCCATGATCATAGACAGTTCAGTTCATTAATTGCGTGTGGGCTACGATACTGACCGGGTGCCCAGACCGAAGCAGGTGGTTATCTTAGGGGGCCCACTCCCCGAGCCTTTGACCTAAAGGTCTAACCCACAAGGCAGTGGAGCATCGTAAGGAGATGCAGTCCCATGGTAGCCGCTGACCAACGATTGGTTCATACGCCATTTGTTCCCGCAGGATACTGGTGCCCATGTGCACCATAGATTTGGAATCCGGTTAAGGCGCCGGACATTCGCTTTTCGTCCTCTCATTTTCGTAAACAACACCCCCGTCACGAGAAGGCAGTGAGTAGGACTTCCCTGGCAGAGGCTGTATACGCGCGGTCGTGTGAGAGTATTTTGAGAGGGAGGACGAACCCACCCCGCTCTCGGCCATACCAGGGCATTTGGGGGCCAAACCAGAACGTGACATCAGTCCATAAAGTCACTAACTTCTGGTCTGAGCCATGTTGTTAGATGCAGACTACTTGGTTTGGGTCCATGCGATTATCGTAATCAGTGGTTGGAGACTGGGTGATATAGCTCAGAATGGATCACAATGGCGCAAGTGTATACACTCTTCGTTTTCCCTTAAAACGTGAGATTAATGAGGTATGGGAACTTGGACCGATGCATATACGTGCGTCGTCCTACGTTGTAGATGACTGACTGACACTAGCAAATACATCTGCAACCATGTGGAAATCCCCGGATTAAAACTTCATCATGGAGCTGACGATAATTACTGGGTTTTGTGACTGACGTCATTTGTTACCTGCAACATAGTGGGTTTTTTAAGTAATCGAGGTAACATAAATTATTATACATTTCATTATATGCAGATTATAACAACAATTATTGCAGTCTATATTTCCTATCTCTAGTATTTTAATTTGCCTGAAGATATTTTAGAAGCTCATCCACCACTTTAAAAATTTTAGGACAAATAATCCTACTTTTAGATAGGTGTGTCTCTCCCAACTAAATATGTCACAGATTTAATCTAATGACTGTTGAAATGCTTATCCGTCTGACGATTGTTCTTTACTAGTTACAGTATTTTCAACAGAATTAGGAGTAATTTATATTTTTGAAACATGTGAACTTTCTCTAGGTGCTCTTCTCCGTTTGACGCAGTCCAATAAAAAACCAATTGAGTCAGGTAATATTAACGCTGACGAAGAATTTCATCTAAACAGTCTGAATAAGTTAATTGTGAAGGAACTATCGGATATCAAATTTGATGAGGACAAATATGAATCGGATGATTATAAATCCAGTTAGCGGGATTGCATTAAAATACACTTGTAAATTTCATAAAGCAGATTATTTCCAAACCATCTTTCTTTTTTGAATGGTATTATAAGAAAACTGAGGTACTATACACATAGCTCACTTTATGTAACCAACAGATTTTATAAGTCTGTTATAAAAGTGAAAACATCCGACTCAACAGTTTGGTGCCATCGTAGAAGGGTCTACCTAATGCGTGAAATACCTGAAGGCTATAAGTTGCGTTTAAAATCTTTAATACTGGCACATATATCGTGCCTCTAGTTATAAATAATTGTCACTTGGCATTAGAACTGCCTATTACTTGGCGCAGAAAACTGAGTATATGGACTAAGGAATACCCACCAAAAATCTATGGAAATTACGAATGCATTATACAAAAACATTTTTGACGTCACACTTTTCTTCCATAGCACCAAGCTGCGTGGTCAGCACAAGTGTAGACATGGTCTTTTCGGGATCAATAGCATCCACTCAGTTGAAAGTCAGTGCCCACAGTTATAACACTTCCAATATTTTATCCATTAGCTCGATTCTTGAGATCCAAACCTGTTTGCATTCTCCCTTAATAGTATTGACTTGTCATAGGAAAGATATTCATTCTCCAAGCTGTAGTTCTGTTGTGCAGTTTTCATTATTTCTGGACAATGTCAAAACAAGCTTTATGAGAAGTGACTTATTACAATCTTTTCACGAGGGGACTAACGGCTCGTGCCGTTGACATACTTGACAGCACAGTCTGCATTTTCCAGATGGTCCTTCCCTATGGTTTGATTATTGATTGTATAGCTCTTCATAATTTAATTGGTTTGGATTGGGTCTGTGTTAGGGTATTTATTGATTTCTAGAAATCTTCCGGCTCCGAAAATAAAGAGCATTAGAAGGCATCACCACGTACCGCTAGTCTTTTCCACCATCTCAGGAGTTTAACTAGTCAACAGCATTCTCACAAAAAAACACTTATACACAGGTTACGTTTGCACTAGCATCAATTTCAACAAGAGTTGCGTATTTACCCGTGCCTAACATGCATATTTACGATTTTCTCTGCTGAAGAGAGAAATCTCGAGTTGTAGATCCTTTACGTTCTATGAAAGTGACAATATATTCGTATCTCTTAACAGTTGCTTTTGTGCAATTCACATAATCATATGATGATTATATCCAGCCAGTGCTCTTCTTAAAAAACACCGTAGTTTGGAATCAATGAGACTAGATTTGCCAGGAACCTAATTTCCTAGAGACTTAAAACCTCAGAGTGAGCCGGAAATAACCAAGCGGCGCCAATATCATTTGGATTTATGTTAGGTTCTTGCTGAGGTGAAAATGAACTCATTTGGTTCAACATAAGACTATATTCATCAGTTTGATCCCACCGGCAGTCGCCTAACAAAGCTCAATGAAGAATGACTACTTCATAGCATTACGTGACAATACACAGGGTTTAAATGATTAAGGTTGTTTCAACTTTTGGATCATCACAGAGCTAAATACGAAATATTGTAATAAGTGATCAAGCAAGACGGGTATAAAGGTATGCAGTACGAACTTTCACTGTACAGAGTCATGTTAAAATAACTGCAAAATATTCAGTTAAAAAATGATGAGTAAAGACAAAGTATTTTCCCAAAGCGCGAACATACTGTGACGACGTATGTTCAGAGGAAACAACAAAGTGATAATTTGTTTAGTACGAGTCATAAAATAGTTTGATTATTCTTATTGTTTAGGAATGAAATATTATGTCGTACAATAAATATTACTGCAAGGAGTCGAAAATATGAATCGACCCCACAACCATACATCATTAAACTTGAGTTCAAAAAAATCACAGATTATCCGGAAGTCTGTACATGAAAAACAACTGTATACATAGAAGACTAAAAAAGAGTTCCCTCGGGCACTACACGATTTACCTCACTGGGAAAACATTAAAAGATTGAAAACATGTAGGCGCAGGAAATGACCAGCAAATTCAATGAAGTGTTTGGAAAGAATAATCGGCGATAAACAGTATATTAGTGTCAAGCATTTAGATTTCTGTAAAAAGGACCAGATAAGTCGATTTCGTTTTGTACAATTTTATGCTAAGGGGACAGTTCAGGAACAATGAAACTAATTTGACAAAATAAACTGAGACAACTCAATAGGTTGTGGAAACAGTGAATGTACAAGATGCGCTGTAAGCGCACGAAAACTGCTATAGTTAACAAGACATGAGTTTAAGGCTTAATTGTGTGGTTGCAAAAGTAGTAATGTTAAATCCCTACTTTGAACTCATTGTATTTAGCAAGACAGAGGAAAAGACGAGATCTTGGAACGAGAACAGTAAGACTGGCTGAAAATTGGTACTAGTATGGAAAACATGTCAGGACTGCTGCTGTGGTCGTCCTAAAGATACCACTGTACGTGCAGGAGTAGGCAATCTTAAGATAGGTATTGTTTGTTGACGACACAAAATGTAATCCGGCATAATATTACTTTGTTGAATTATCCTGCGACGTTGATCTCGCGTGCACATAATGATAGGTTGGTGGTTTGAGTTTCCGAATGAATTGGATAAATGTAGACGATCTAAAGTGGGATATTCATTAGTACGCCATATCATTTCACGATCTTCTTGTGCAGGATCAACGAACAATGCGGAACCCATACCTGGATCCGATAATATGAAACTACGATCGAATTCTTGTTTTATAAAACAATCTTCCTCTTCTACTTCACCTTCGTCATTATCGTCATCAATATCATCTTCATTAGGATTGACAAATGATTTGGAATGTTTTCGCCTGCCGGATGTATATTTTGGTACTATGATGTACGGGTCATTTCGCAATTCACATTTGGAGCCTGTGGATACAGATAAGGGTGTTTCATCAATCGTATATGGAGGTGGGGGCAATTCATGAGCAGTATATCGTGATGCAGAGGTTGGACGAGTATAACCTCGAGGAGCCTTTATATAAGTTGGTTTTGAGTTGGAAGAATTAGATGAGGTTACCATAAAAGGAGATGTACTTTTAACTTGTACATTATTTTCTCCGTCATTATCTGGAGTAGGATAGGGTTTATTCGAATCATTAACATTATCGGCAACCGAAGCCTGCTGAGAAATTGGCAGTTCATCAAGTTCAGAGAAGTAGCCGGGCGTTTGTGAAGTTGAAGAGCTACGAGGACCTCTATTAAACACAAAAGACCATAAATAATGATAAAACAATAAGATTATTTTTTCGCATGTAACAACGCAATAACAGGGGTATCAAGCTAACTGGATATTAGAGTCAAGAAAGGTCGCCACATTTTCGATGTGCGCAAAAATAATATCTCGACATAATCAAGTTGATTTATGAGAAAAATAAACTTACCGGTATCTGACCTTGGCATGTGTCATAATATGAGACTTTAAATTTGTTGATTGAGCAAAGCGTTTATGACAGTTCTCAAAGGGGCATATGTAAGGACGATCACCAGTATGTATACGTACATGTGTACGTAAATTGAAATCCAATGAAAAACGCTTGCCACAACCCTGAAAATTTCAATTTACAACCAAAATAAGGAGATAAAGGTAATTTTATCACGAACACAAAATTTTATGCGATTATCATAAAAAAATTTTAGAAGGTAACTTGAGTAAAAAATACGAACAATTTACCTTTAGTCTTGTTTATCATAGTCTCACCTTGATCGATGTCGTAGAGACAATGCTCTTTTCACTTAGTGTAAAAGTATGAGACATTCGACTAAAGGTTTATTTTGATGTTCGTTTGTCGATAGTTATAAGTGAAACAACAGTTAGTCACAACTTAGGACTTGGACGTATATTCGTCGGTTCAAAATGCCATACCCTATTAGAACAGAGAGATCACGTTATCAGGCTAGACTCCAGAATGGCAGAGGTAGTGGCAATAGAGAAGAATAGGTATCGAAGATACCACTCGAAAAAAAACATAGATTAGTGAAACAAAAAAGTGATGATGAATTTAGAATCTCAGGATTTGGGTAAAGGCAAAGAATAGATGCACCTGAGCCACTGCAAATGATTTCCAACCATGTCATTGAAAGTCTGTAACCACCAGTTATGATAAAAATGCGGACCCCAATCAGGTAATCTGTATCCAATAGCATGGTTGAGTCTAGTTGTCAATGAGTGTCGGTGATATACTTTCTCATGAATTATTTAGTCGGACAGAAGCAGGTAGACCGCAGTATAAATGACAACTGACAAATATGAGTCACGACAGTCGAGAAACAATAATATACCAATATTTGCTGAATAAGTTACGCTTTGGTGAAAAGTGATATCACGGCACATTTATTTAATTCAGTAACCGGATGGCGATTAAAGCTCGTAGGTATAACACGATTTTCGTAACATTGAGGTGTGAAGTACTCTCATAGGATTGACGGTTTTCTTTGCACTCACTCTATGGTGATCTGTTGGAACGTGTTTAGTACTACCTCGATTTTAGTCTATCGGGTATACAACACTTTGGTGTGAATTTTGCTTTGGACAATGTGAAACTTTGAGTCTAAAAAGGTGAACGGATCTAACAACTCCGAGGTTGATCATTATTTCTGAAGAACTTCTCGCTCTTGTTGGAAACATTACTGAGGTTTTGTAACCCGTTTAATAGGAACACTGAAATGTCTTTTTTTGCCACAGCTTTCTGTTTTCTATTTATTTCCAATAGTTATTTAGTTGTGTGATGGCTTATTGTTCTAAGTATAGCTTGTTTCAAATAAATATTGCCTTGAGAGAATCCAAAAACTACCTTTATGATACCAAAACTCACCTCGAAGTTGCATTGGAAAGGCTTTTCACCAGTATGAACTAGTTGATGTCTTTTTAATTTGCTAGATTCAACAAATGCTTTTCCGCACTCAGCACAAACATGTACCCGTGGACCGTGTGTATGCAAATGCTTGCGCATAGCAGAATTGTCACGAAAAAGCTTTCCACAACCTTTATGTGGGCACGGCACCGTACGAAGCATATTGCTAGAGTTCGAGGATCCGTACACAACAGGTGGATTAATGT